GTGGCTCCTGTGCCAAGGGCGCCAGGCCGCCACGACCAACCTGGACCCCGAGGAGATGCACGTCCTGGGCGCCAGCGACCACGCTGTGCTTGCGGCGGTGCTCCACGGGGCAGCCTCGCCCCAGGGGGGGGGCCACTCCCCACAGATCCAGCCGTGCGCACCAATTCCACGACATTACTTCGAGCACAACCTATATTCTGACTTGGTAGACAAGTACCTGGACGACGCCAGGATTGAGCAGATGTCCTGCGCCTCGCGCTCACATCGCCGCCACGACCGTCCTCCAGGAGGTTGCGAAGGTCATCCGCAACACCGAGATTCACGGGATGCCCAACGGGGTCCACACGAAAGCTATGGTCACGCGCACGCCCGCGAGGCTCATCCACGGCAATGACTTCGAGGCCGTTTCGAGGCTCTGCAGGCTCCACCCGTGGATCTCCGAGTACGTCCACATCGACCTCAGTGTCAGTCGTGCCACCCTGACTGACCCCCCTCGCTTCGCCGCGCTCCACTCCCGGTTGCAGAGGGAGGAGGCGCAGCGCAAGGAGGCAGCCCTCCTTGCTGAGGAGGCCCAGGAGGCCAGCTCCCGGCGTCGAGCCAAGATAGCTGGACAAAGGCGTACGCTACGACGTCGTGCTCTGCTCTTTTCGCCCTTCCGGGCAAGGAAAGTTCTCACCGGGGTCCGCGTCGAGAGTCACACGATCACGGACCCTGAGGGCATACACGCTGAGCTGCCCGACTACTGGGGCCGCGTCTTCTCGGCGAAGGCGCCGCCGGGGCCTGGCGCTCGCCGCTACCTCGGCCGCTTCAACAGCGCGGACGACGTCGGGGCGGTCACCTTCGGCGCCTCCGGGCGTCGTGCGCTTGGCCGGATCTTCAGGCTGGCCGAGTCCTTCGCCACGCTCGTGCTCAAGCCCAAAAAGTGCGCTGCGATACCACTCGCTGTAAAGCTCAGTTCCGAAGCTATCCGGTCCACGCAGGCACTTCTTGGAGCCGTCCTGCCGTCTTGGGTGCAGTTCAAGGTCGTCGATTCGGCAACCTACCTCGGCTTCATCGTCGGCCCCGGCGCCACTGCGGCCACCAATCTAGCCGGCCCGCTGTTGAAGTGGCAAGAACAAGCAAGGGCTATTGCCCGTTCACCTGGCGACGCCTTTGCGAAGGCCGAGCTCTATGTCACCCGGGCGGTTCCGACAGTCTCGTACGTCTCCCAGTTGCTCCCTCTCCCGTGGAAGCTTCGCGCCACAGAGGTCGGCATCTTCGCGCGGATCCTCAAGGTGCCCCCGACGGCGTGCACCTTCCCAGACTGGCACCACTGGGTCGACTGGGGCGGCCCCAAGCTCCTTTCCATCGTCGTCCAGGGCGCGGCGGCCATGGCAAGAACGGCAACCACCACGCTCCCGCGCTGGAAGCCCCTCGTGCGGCTCCTCGAGGACGCGGCCCAACGCTTTCTCCCCCTGGCGGCACGTGCGCGAGGAGCCCGGGACAACGGCATCTGGGAGGAGCCCCCGTGGATCGACCACTTGGTGGAGGCCAGCCGCGGCTTCCCCAATCGCCCACACTTCTGCCACCACTCGGATGCCCTCGTCCACGAGATGGCGCACCCGTGGAAGTCCGACGGCGGCTCGAAGGCTGGGCTCCAGAAGCGGCTCCATCGCACCCTCATGCAGTGCCTCATGCCCTCGACGATGGTAGCAAAGTTCAGGGAGCGCATCGCCAAATGGTTTCCGACGGCCGCCGGCGCCGCGAACTCCCTCGAGTGGGGCGCCCACCAGGAACGCCTCTTGACCATGGCCCCAAGCGTGCGGATTGCTGCAGCGAAGACGTAGCTTGGCGCCTGGCCGACGGGACGGCGCATGCAAGGACACGGTCCTGACCGAGTATGTCCTTTCGGGTGTGCCCGCGGCGAAGATGACATCTCGCACGTAGTGGCCCAATGCCCGAGGTTCAACATAGCTTTCGAGGCGGCGGCTCGCAGCTCGGCCGTCCCGCCGCTGGAGCACAAGCTGGGCCTTCTCCCGTCCGTCGAGAGCCTGCTCAGCGCTGCCACGTCTTGGCACCTGTGGCGCATTGCCAAACACCATCCACAGCGCGGGCACTTCACGGACGAGACGCTGCGGGACATCGGGGCCGCGGCACGGTACGCGGTCCGCCTGGCCAGCGGGCGCGTGACGCGGCAGCGGGCACCGACCTCGACGGCCTCATCCTCTTCTTCCATGGCCTCCCGCTCGACGGTGCCGCGCCCCCGGCTCACGCCGATGGTGTCCTCGTCTGATTCCGGCGTCCTCGAAGTGAGCTCTTCCTCGGCGGGTCCACTCTCGAGCTGGAGCGCTTCGACGCCACCCGCGCTGCTAGCCTCGCCGATCCGGGACGCCGATGACGACGCTGAGGCGGTTCCTGGGTCAAGGGATTCCCTTCCTGGCGATGATCTGGTAGCCCGGAGCGCGGGGGCAGCGGCCAGTTCTTGGCCACATTCACCATCCATGTCAACGGCGACCCGTGAGGTGCCGACCCCGCCTCGGGCGTGATGCAGAATGGAGCGGGCCGTGGCGGCACGCTCGCGGAGGAGGAGGAGAAGATGGGGAGGGGCAGGCGGAGGAGGAGGAGGAGGAGGAGGATGAGGAGGAGGAGGAGGAATAATAATGATAAGACGAATAAGAATAATACGAAGACTAAGACGAAGAGGCAGACGACTAATACTCATACTAATAAGAACAATATGAATAATAATAAAAATAATAATCAAAATCCTCATGATAAGAAGAAGAAGACGAACATGAATAATAATACGAATGATAATGCAAATCATAATAAGACGACGAAGGCGAATAAGGGGAATACGAATAAGACGCCGAAGACGACGCATACTAATAATAATACCACGAAGACTAATAGTAACACTACAATCGACAATAATACGAATAATACGAATAAGAAGACGACGAATAAAAACAACACGACTAATCATAATACTACGAATAATAATACTGATACGACGAATAATAATATTAATAATAATAAGAGGACTCATAAGAATAATAATGCTACTAAGAATATTAAGAACACTATTCATAAGAATAATGTTAAGAATAATAAGAATAATAATGCGAAGACGAAGAAGAATAACCATACTAATACTAATACGAAGAGGAAGGTGAGGAGAAGGAGGAGGAGGCGGAGGAGGGGCATGAGGCGGAGGCGGTGGAGGACTGGGAGGAGGATGAGGAGGAGGATGGGGAGGAGGAGGAGGAGGAGGAGGAGAGAGGAGGAGGAGGAGGAGGAGGAGGAGGATGGAATCAGCAGGGGCAAGGGAGGGGGATGCGGGAGCAGGATGAAGGGGGGGGGGGGGGGGGGGATGAGTAGGAGGGGAGGGGGGGGGAGGAGGAGAGAGGAGGAGGAGGAGGAGGAAGGAGGAGGAGGAGGGGCAGGAGGATGAGAGGAGAGGAGAAGGAGAAGATGGGAGGGGCAGGGGAGCAGAGGAGGAAGAGGAGAAGGGGAAGAGGAGGAGGAGGAGGAGGAAGAGGGGCAGGAGGATGAGGAGGAGGAGGAGGAGGCGGAGGAGGAGGAGGGGGAGGACGAGGAGGAGGATGAGGATGAGGAGGGGAATACTTATAAGACGACGAATACTAATACTACTACGAAGAAGAATAGTATTATTAATACGAAGGGTACGAGTAGTAAGGATACTCGCACTACCCAAAAACATACACATCATAATAATAATACTAATAATATTAATAATATTGCTACTACTAATATTACGACTGATGATACTATTACTACTACCACTACTACTACTACTAATAATAATACTAATGCTACTACTACTAACAATAATAACAATACCAATAATAATAGAAATATCAATAACAATAACACTAACAATAAAAACAACAACACTAACACTTATATTACTACTAATAATAATGATGATGGTACGAATAGTAGTATTAGTAATACTAATAACAATATCAATAACAATACCAATACCAATACTAATTAACATACTAGTAATACCAATAGTAATACTGCTAATAATAATACGAAAAACAATGCTAATATTAATAATAATAATAATAATGATCATAATCATACTGATAATGATAATAATGATACTAATGACAATGACAATAATATTAATACTACTAATAACAAGAATACTAATAATAATAGTAATAATAATAGTAATAATAATAATGGTAATGCTGATAATAGTAATAATATCAGCAATACAAATAATACTAATACTAATAATACGAATGGTACTAACAATATTCACAGTACTAATACTATTATGAATAATATTAATAACAATGCTAACACTATTAATAGTAATAATACTAGTGCGAAGAAGAATACGCATACTAATCATACTCATAAGAAGAAGACGAAGAAGAAGACGAGGAGGAGGAGGAGGAGGAGGAGGAGGAGGGGCAGGAGGAGGAGGAGGAGGAGGAGGAGGAGGATGAGGAGGAGAGGAGCGGGGGTGGGGTGGGGGTCGGGGAGGGGGAGGAGGAGGAGGAGGAGAGGAGGAGGAGGAGGAGGAGGAGGAGGGAGGAGGAGAGGAGAGGAGGTAGGAGGGAGGAGGAGGAGAGGAGGAGGAGGAGGAAGGAGGAGGAGGAGGAGAGGAGGAAGAGGAGGAGGAGGAGGAGGAGGAGGAGGAGGAGGAGGAGGAGGAAGAGAAGGAGGACGAGGAAGAGGAGGAGGAGGGGGACAACGTTTCTGGCTGCTCTTGGGTGGGGGGGGCAACCATCTTTTGTAGCCTCCACCCTGGCCGCCCGTGAACTTTAGGCCTTTTTCTGTTCGGTGCAGCTTGCCTTGAGCTCGTTCGCCTCTGGTTGCCTCTAGCGCTCATCATCCCTCTCCTCCTCGCCTTTTCCTCCTCATCCTTTTCTCCTCCTCGTTCTTTCCTCCTCCTCGCGCTTTCCTCCTCGTCCTCCTTTTCCTCTCCTCGTTCTTTCCTCCTCCCGCCCCCTCCGCTCGGGACCCTGTTTGTCTGCTAGTCCCACCTGGCGTTCTACTACAACCGGTACTTCAAGAAAGCGCTGGTGCTGAAGGATGCCTGATGCTGCACGATGGCAACACGACGCCACGCCACTGGTCAGAGGAGCAGGGAGTCATGGTAGTGTTACGTTCCAAGTTTTGATATTCGCCGCACCGCTCCTGTTCGTCATTCTTACCCCTCTTCACCGTCGCCCCTCTGCCGCGCCTGATCATCCTGTTCATCCTCCCCCGTCTCCCCATCTCCAGCTCATCCTGCTCATCCTTCTCTGCCTACCCTCCCCTCCAGCCCCCGCTGCTCATCCCGCTCCTCCTCCTCCATTTCTCACCCCCTTTCGCGCTGTCCTGTCCCACAGCTCCCTGCGGCCCCCCTGCTCTGTCTGTCTGTCTGTCTGCCTGCCTGCCTGCCTGCCTGCCTGCCTGCCCGCCCGCCTGCCTGTCTCTCTCCCTCTCTCTCGCTGTGGGCTGGCCTCGTGCTCCGTCCTGGCAGGCCTCGCGCCGTCACCGCCACCGATGCCGCCCTGCCGCCGTCGCCGTCGCCGCCGCCGCCGCCGTCACCGCCGCCGCCGCCGCCGCCACCGCCGCCGCCGCCGCCGCCGCCGCCGTCGTCGTCGTCGTCGTCGTCGTCGTCGTCGTCGTCGTCGTCGTCGTGGCAGGGTCCGCTTTACTCGCAGAGGGGCCCGCGTGCGGCCACCGCGGAGCGCGGAGCTGCTCGGGGGGGGGGGGGCGGCGGCCGCTCCACGGTGACAGCGGCGACCTCCCGGCCTGGGGACCCTCCGCAGCCTGTTCCCTTCCCTCTCCCTGTCCCCTCCCCCATCCACCCATCCACCCTCTTTCCCCGTCGCCCCTTCCTTCCCCCCCCTCTCCTGCATCTCCTTCCCGCGCTTCCTCCTCACGCCATCCCTCCTTTCCTCCTTCCCGCCAGAATTACGGCGTGGAGAGCAACATGGACTTGCTGGCGCTGGTCAAGGACATCCTTGGTCCGTCAGTCACGGTCGGAAGAAGGAAGGTGTAATGATAGAGCCGCAGAAGGGAGGACATTATGCTATACGATGAGGTTGCAGTTTGCACAAGAGATCGGGCATTCCTGGATTATCACACACACATGCGAATGCATGTACATAGATATATATGCATCCATTTATACATGTATACATAGGGGTGGGAGAGAGGGAGAGAGAGAGAGAGAGAGAGCAAGAGAGAGCGAGAGAAAGAAAGACAGAGCGAGAGGGAGAGAGAGACAGAGAAAGAGGGAATGAGGAAACGACGTGTGTGTATATATGTGTATGTGTATGTATATGTATTTGTATACAGAGAGAGAACAAGAGATAAAGAGAAAGAGAGAGAGAGAGAGAGAGAGAGAGAAAGACGGAGAGTCACCGCGCGCGTGCGAATCTCTCTTCTTTCTTTCTAAACGTTTGCACACACATTTACATTTGAATTAACGTGTACATTTACATCGGAGGTTGGGGGGTGAGATCGCAGTGGAACGGAGGCCCCCAGCCGAGAAATCGTTTCGTTTCGTTCGTGTCGTGCGTGCGGGCGAGGCGAAGCTGCGTGAGCGCGCGAGAGGAATGAACCCGCAGTTACTAGGGCGAAATCAAGACAAAATATTCTCCCCCGCCCGTCCAGCGGTGGCTCGCGGTGTCCCGCGGTTTCCCGTGGTGTCCCGTGGTGTCCGCCGTTGCTAAGGCGAAGTCAAGACAAATGATTCCTCCACGCCCGCCCGTCCGTCTGTCCGTCCGGCGGTGGCTGGCGGTGCCCCACGGTGTCCCGTGGTGTCCAGTGGTGTCCCGTGGTGTCCCGTTGAGTGAGATCGATAGTGAGATCGACAGTGAGATCGATGGTGAGATCGATAGTGAGATCGATACTGAGATCGATACTGAGGTCGATGTGGTGCCCCGAGGTGTCCCGTGGTGTCTCGTGGTGTACCAAAAAACGAGATCGATAGTGAGATCGATAGTGAGAGCGACAGATGTCCCGTGGTGTCCCGTGGTGTCCCGTGGTGTCCCGTTGAGTGAGATCGATAGTGAGATCGATACTGAGATCGATACTGAGATCGATGTGGTGTCCCGAGGTGTCCCGTGGTGTCCCGTGATGTCCTGTGGTGTCCCGTTGAGTGAGATCGGTAGTGAGATCGATAGTGAAACCGATAGTGAGATCGAGAGGTGTCCCGTGGTGTCCCGTGGTGTCCCGTGGTGGCCCGTGGTGTCCCATGGTGTCCCGTTGAGTGAGATCGATAGTAAGATCGATAGTGAGATCGACAAGTGTCCCGTGGTGTCCCGCGGTGTCCCGTGGTGTCCCGTGGTGTCCCGTTGAGTGAGATCGATAGTGAGATCGATTGAGTCAGATGTTGGTTCCCCCCTCTCCCCCCCACAACCTCCTTATCACCCGAAGGGTGGTCGTATGTATATATATATGTATACACAGCTATACGACCACCCTTCGGGTGATAAGGAGGTTCGGGGGGGGGGAGGAACCAACGTCTCACTCGATCGGTCT